TATCATCGACAGAACACCCACAGTACAACACAACACACCCAAGTCACATCGACAGTCACACCACAGTCACACACACCACAGTCACACAGCCACACCATCAGAACGACCAACAGTCACCACACACGGGACAAACACAACACCACACCACACAGACCACACACACACCACACACCACACACTACAACACACAGACGACACACACGACACGACCACACCACACACAGACACACCAACACACAGGGCACAGACACACAGTACCCACACACACCGCGGCACACAGACCACAGTCCACAGCACACAGTCACGACACCAGTCACAGCACACACACACACACAGTCAGCCACACACACACACACACACAGTTCAGCACCACACACACAGACACACAGACACCAACACAGCACATCCAGAACGAACACACACGACCACAGTCACACACACAAGCACAGCAACAACAAAAACACACACACAGCGACCACAAGGACCACTCCACACACGACAAGTCACAGAGCACACGAGCCACAGTCACAGACACACACACACAGACACACAGTCACACACACACAGACACACCACACACACCACCAAACAACACAGAACACACACACACACCCAACCACACACACAACACAGACAACGACACACACACAGTCACACCACACACACACAGACACCACCAACACCGTCACACCAGCCACCACACACAGTCACCACCACAGTCACAGACCAAACACCACAGTCCACCACAGTCCACCACACACACAGCACACACACACAGTCACACCACAACACACCACCCACACAGATCACACACACACACAACAGTCACACACCACACAACACACAGACCACAAAACACACACAGAGAAAACACACACAGTCCAACAACACACACACCAGACACCCACACCACAAGACCACGCAAACAAGGCGGAGCACCACAACCATCCACCACACACACGCACAGTGCACGACACACCCGATCACAGAACACAGTCACAGACACACACACACACAAACAGACAGCACACACACACAGTAAGCACACACAAACACACACACAGCAGTCACAGCACACACACACACACACCACACAGTCACCACACACACACACACACACACACAAGACACAACAAACACACCAGAGACACACACACACACACCACAACAGCAAGCCACACACACCACACAAGAGACACACCAACACAAACACACACACACGAGACACAAGACACACCACGAACAGACACAGACAGCACACATCAGTCACACACACACGACACACACACAGTCACACCACTACACACACACAACACACACAGTCACACAGCACACACACACAGTCACACACAACACACCCACACAGCAGTCACACACAACAACACAGTCCACAGACACACACACACACACACACACACAACACAGCACAACACACACACACACAGCAGGACACACACCACACACAGCCCAGTTAGCTGTTAGCTGTTAGCTGACCTGCAGAGTTACATTAACGTTAACTACCGTGTCCGGTTCCCGCCAGTAAACTCACCGACTCCCGCCGAACGGTCCCAGTTCTGTCCCGGTTCCGGTTCCGGTTCTGTTTCCGGTGTTTTAATAAACTTTCTGTTAAACTTTGGAGGCACAAACACTCCACACTTCTTCTTCTATTGCTGCTGCTGCTGCTGCTGCCTGTTTCTTCTTCTTCTTCTTAATCGCGGGTAGTAACGAGCGTTTGCTGCCACCTACCGAACTGGAGGAAGAACTGCAGGAAATAACATTTATTTATTATTATATCAATCATAACATTTATTTTAAAATTATAACACCAACTAAAATATTAATGTATTAAAAACATTATAAACAATATATAAATAAAATGTATATAGACTTATATAATAAGAGAGGCTTTATATCTGAAGACTGCTGACACAGCAAAATGCAGATTTTTATTTTCATATATATTGTATTGTAATAATATTTTTTTTTCATTTTATCAGCAGCATGTATGTGTTCATATAATATACAGAGTTTACTTAGTTTTAGTTAGTTAATCACATAATAATGATGGGATTGTCTTCATTCCTCTCATTTTTTTAAATCAATAACCTCTTTCATCCGAAAGTTCATCAGTTTCTGTATTTTAGTCCATGTTGAGTAAAAACTGTTTCTCCAGCTGCTCCCAGATGTTTTCAAGATGTATTTTAGAATACGGATTATATATACATATTCATTGATATGTTTAAAAACCATAATTTACTGTCTCAGGGATTACTTTATGTATCATTAGCAAACATCTAACTAATTTACATAAACATAAAGTTGGCTGTTGGTTTGTCTGTTTAACTGAAAGTCACATATAATCAAATCCTAAATAAGATAATGTTAGCAGAATGACAGCTAACTGGCTGCTAATCTATGTAATTAGTTTTTGTTTTCTAAAATTAAGAGAAAGTTTGTAAAGAAAACAACCTCATAATAACATGATTATTTTCAATGAAGGTTAACACTAATGTAATGTTATTTAATATAAAGTGTTTGTTCTTCAATTTGTTTAAACATTATTTCTGTCACTGATCACAAATCTTCCTGTTGAAGCACCGAATCATAAACCGATCAATCATCAAAAATATTCTGCTGGTTCAGTTTCTGGTTTTCACTGAATGAAATAAAACTGAAACATTTTATTTATATTTGTTTATTTTCACACTTTAACAAACATTCAAACTGTGCAAATGAATCAAATGAGTCAGATGAATTCTGTCCACACTGAAAAACCCAAAAGCCACAGAGGAACTCACTGGGAATCTCTATTGGTCTCTACTGGTCTCTACTGG